AGCAGTATGTGGAAGCATGCTGACAACCGCATGGTGTTCAAGTTTGTAGTTTTTTTTCCATTTATCACAGCTTATTCAAGATGAACCACAGAGAGCCTCTGCTTCTTGACAACATAAATTCTCTTCATAGCAGGCACCTGGACAATAGGTCAGGGCAAGCTCTGGTCATGGAGGCTGCCCAGCAGGCGATAGATGTAAATGTCTGCTGGATTCCAGAATTGAGGCGAGGCACCGTGCACTTGAACACTCCCAAATCTTTAGACATATCATTTTTCAAGAGGATGGTAGAGAAGCAGAGGAAATTTCATCTGTCAGTTGGCCAACTCTGAGATTGGAAGGAACTTACTTCACTGACATGCAATAGGAAAATTATCACTACCAGAGCATAAGATCTGCCAAAATTTCTATAGTACAAGGAAACAAAATACTATTTGAAGACTCCAAGGAAGAGCATATATTTGAAGATGCTTCGCTACAGGAAAAGAAAGCATTAGAAAATGTCTGTTGGGTACTCAAAAGCATGTGAGGAGATCTGGTTATCTATCAAACAGTGACCCATAAGTTAAGAATGTAAAGAAACTACAAAATTTCACTGTGGAGGCCAGAAAACAAAATTGAGTCGCTGATAATCAAATCAGTAACTTACAGGATGAGTGTGAGTTTTTTCAGGGAGTCTTCCTCACTTGTTCATGGACAGTTACTGCTCACAGGTCACATTTCCCAAAACACAATTCTCTCACCTTCATTAGCTCTTACTTCACTGTGCTGCTCTGTAACTGCATTTGGTGTCTGTCTCTGCCCTTACAATGTGGGCTCCTCCAGGCAGGGACCATGACCTACACAGGTGTTTACATCCCTCCCAGCAGCATAATCTGGCCAGTGGGCCCTCATTAAGGGCTTCATAAATGTACAAAATGGGAGTTCTCAGTCAGTTGGGCTTTCATGTTGGTTTACGTTTTTGTTTTTTCAATCAACATGCAGAGAACCCAGTCTGTGACCAAAGTATCATAGAACATAGACTAGAGTCTGGGGTGTGGGAACAGAGTTGGAAGATATGGACTGAAAACAAAAAATTGTTTTGGTTTTTTTAGAAAAACAAGGTAAAGTAGTAGGCAAAGGAATAAAGATGGCATCCAGTAAATAGCACATTTTAAAAGTGAATTTAAATTTTAGAAATAAGTGAGGGAAAAAATTATTTTCCTAAGGTCATTCTAGAAGTCAACAGATTAACTAAGAGATTTTAAACTGCCTTTTATCACAAGATCAGATTTCCTTTTCTTTCTCGCTTTTTTTTTCTCTCATTTTCTTCCTAAAAAAAAAAATCTTTACCACACATTGGACTTGCCAGTGATGTCTACAGACATCACAGTGCTTGGTGTCACAACAGATAAACTCTAAATCTCAGTGACAAAAATAGAAGTTATCCCTCAATAAAGTCTAAAATGATTGGGACTGGCTGGCATGGACTTTCAGGGGCTTGGGCTCCTCTTCTTTATGGGCCTACCTCCTGGAAAGCCTTGGAATTCTCTCCATTCAGCTGGCAGGTAGAGTTCCATTCAGGGACCACATAGAGGTACAGAGAGGTTTTTATGGACCAGGACCATAAGTGGGGCACATCATTTTATTATATCCCAGCAGTGTAGCGCTCAGTCACATAATCACGCCTAATTGAGAGGGAGACTAGATGATAGAATCTAGCTGTAGCTCTGATAGAGAAAAAATGGCTTTGGTGAATACTAGCCTGCCTCTACCACAAAGTCCAAATTGTTCCGACAACAGATCATCATGACCCATGACACCATGCACAGCCCTCTTACTTTCTCAGTTAATCCTTGCAATAATCTGATGGAATTGGCTGTTAGGGTAGTATGTTCAATTTAGTAACCTATAGCTCTGAATAACAGTCTAGGATATGTACCTCATTCTGACTCCAAAAGTCATATGTACCATGCTGCATTCTTCATTTACATCAGGAAGTCTAAGGGAGATTATAACCTGACTGCATTGTGATTAAACTTAAATGATCATGTAACTGCACATCATCAGTAGATTCCATTCTCTGTGTTTTTCCAATTAAAATGACGGGCTTACGCCAATTCACCAAAACACACTCCCATTTTAATGTATAGCATAGATCTGAGGTCATCCTGGCAGTCCCTAGCATAGGCATGGAGTGATATGCACTGTCTCATCATTTATATCTGATTAGTGCTAACAGACCAACACAAATTTACATTTTCAGAGTGAACATTTTTATACCTCACACTTTTAAAATACATTTTATCATTACATTAAAAAAGTAGACATTCAATATGTTTATAAGTGAATAACAGCTAATTTGTAAATTGTCATATCTATAAATATGTAATATGTAGGTATATATATATACCTACATATTACATATGTAATATACCTACATATTACATATTTATAGATATGACAATAAAGTAATACGTATATATATTACTTCATTTAATTCTCAATATCACTTAATGAATTGAGTGTTTTTATTACCAGAATTTTATTGATGTGGAAATGAAGGCACAGGTTAAGCAACTTGACTGAGGCACAAGAGATGAACGATGAAGAAAATAAAACAGGGCAGCCTACTAGTCTAAGTCTCCTGTAATTTTCCCACAGTTCAAGTTTACATGTTTTATTTTGTGTTTTGCCATTATCCTTGTCATATATTATTCCTACTCTTCAAAATACTTACCACTTGGCATTCTCTATTTTTACTTCTCAGCAACCCCATTCACTGCACCTTTACTCCATGAACGTGTTCATTTGAATATGTAAAATCTAATAAAAATTAGGTTTTACATCATTTGAGTATGTAAAACCTTTAAAAAATGCATTTTTTAACTTGTTTCATTTTAAAAAGTGCCTTGCTATGCAAAGCACAAAGCAAAAAATGCAACTTAGCTGTTTCTTAAGGTAAATCCACAACTTCCGGGGAGAAATCCTTTCATTTCCTCTAAAACAAAAAGGATCTATACACATATTTGAGGTCCTGAAGGAACATCAATTTCAGTTTTAAGACATATTTAACGTAATATCTTCTGTCAAATTTTTGGTGCCTAGCATAAAACTGGAGACTTTAGAAAGCTTTTGAAATATTAGTCATTAAAATGACTCACTTTCTAAAAGAAATTACTTGGGAGTCAAAGAAGGATGACTTTACTATCTCAGAAATTAAACGCTGATTAATTTGTTCATCCATTCAGTCCACTATGAATGCACTGATGCGGAAACTTGGGGGGGGGATGAAAAACACTGAAATTGAAATGACCACTAAAAATGTTCTTCCTCGTTTACTTTGCTACCTAAATGCCAGTTGGAACGTCAGACAAAATGTAATTTGTAGAACAGCCTTGTGGCACATTGTATCCATCAAACAAAATCGACGAGGTGCTAGAAGACACATTTTGTGTCTGCTGGTGATAAAAATCCTCGGCAGAGCTTGCTAAACTCTCTTGTGAGGCATCTTTGTCAGTTGTGCCTAAAGCAGGCCCCTAGTAGGTACTCAGAAAACATGTGTTGTTGAATAAATCAGTGAGGCCAAGATGGAGTTTACTCAAAGGTAGTAGGAGTTTTGCATTCTCTCATTGCTCACGATAAGCTCTTAACGACTTTTGCAACTGGTTTTGCAGGTCATCCAAGCCACTGACCTTTCCTTAGCTCTAATACAATTAGAAGAAGGAGCAGAGACATTTTACACTGTGAATGTAGCTCTTTGAACTTCCCTAAGTAGCCTGGGTGGAGGCCCCACCGTTTTAGGTTGGCAGGTTTGTAAGGCACCAGCAATATCCGCCCTTCTACCCGCCCCGCCCGCCGCTTCCTGGATCTTGGTCCCTGTCCTCGCCCGAGGATCTTTCCCCGCCCCCCACCCGCCCCGCCCGAGGGCTGGGTCAGCAGGAGCCCTGGGAACTACCACTTGTCTCAAACTTTGTTTCCAGAAGAAAATAGGTACTGATCTGTATATTTTAAATCACTACAGCATAAGGTCTTCAAGTGAATGTCTTATTTGAGTATTAAAATTTAAATTACGATAAATGAGCTAGTACAAAAGACCTCCATGATCGCCCCAAACCCTCCATGTGAGGTGGTCTTTTGCACTCAGAAGTTGTAGGGTTTCTGAAAGCAGCCGCATCTCCTTCCAGACCTCACCTCCCGTAACCTCCGTCCGCTCTATGGAGGCACCTCACCCCCACTTCACGCCCACCCATTGTCCCTTCGCAGCTGTCAATGCGCGCAGATCCCGAACTGCAGATTGGAAAACCTTCCCGTCACTCAGTTCACACTCAGACCGGACGCTACACTCCCTATTCCCTGCCTTTCAAGGTCTAAGACAGCGTTCCCGGAGTCAGCAGGTAAAGCCGAAGCAGCGGAAGGGAGGAAAGGAGCGCGGAAGGAAGGGAGGGAGAAAGGAAGGGAGGGGCCCGCTGGGTGCCGAGTGGGTGGGCGGAGCGGCGGCCTGGGGGGCGCGCTACGTAACCCCGCGGGGCCAGACCGCGCCCTGTCCCTACATCGCCCCCCGCCCCGTCCTGCTCACAATGCCTAAACCACGGAGCCACTCTTGTAATCCAGCCCCCTGACATCCTTGGGGACAGTTGCCGCTGCGAAGCACCGAGGGAGGGGCCGGGTGGGCCGCGGCGATGGGGTGGAGGGGTATGTGAAAGGTCCCGGATGTTGCTGAACTAGAGCCCCTTCGAAAGGGAGTAACTGGCGCAGGCGCAGGCTCGCAAGGCAAGCTAAGGTGGGGGTGGGGAGGGATTTTCTCTCTGGTTTAGACCGAGTTGCTGAAGCTGGAGGGGAAGACTTGGGATGTAGTGGTGTGGAGAGGAAAAAAAGGAGCTTCCTGCCTAGGTGCACTTGGGAGTAGAGAAGTTGGAGGCTGAGCAGGTCGGGAAGGAGGATTGATGGCGGGAGGGGACACGCGCGCTCCACTGCTCGCCCTCTAGCGCGGGCGGACGGGACGCGCGCGCTAGGGAGCGGCGGTTGTGCTGGCCCCCAGAGCTGTGGGCACCAATCAACGGTTGCCATAGCAGCGTTTGACGTCACCGTGCGTGTGGTGCCCCTGCTGCCGGGGCTGGTGATTGGAGGAAACCCCGTGTCTGCGGAGCGTCTGTAGCCTGTGAGCAGTAAGATCGAGAGACAGAGTCTCAGCCTCGCCGCCACTGCTGCCGCCGCCGCCCAGAGACTACTGAGCCCCGGTCGCTCCGCCGCCACCCACTCGGGACACAGGTAAGAAACCCGGCCGCCGCCGCCTCGCTCCACTCTTTCCTGTTCCAGACCAGTCTAATGAAAGCGTGGGGACCACCCCCGCTCCACGTCCCTTCAGCCTCGCTCGCCCGGCGGTAGCGGCGCTAGGCTGAGGCGGAGTCTCCGCAAGCGGAGACGGGCGGCGGCTTTCCTTCCGCTGGACTCGGGCGGGCGGCTCGCGCCTGCCTCGGGCTACTTGCTTCCGGATCGGCGCCTTAGCCCGGATAAGCGCCCGTTCCTGGCTCCCCTCCCCGGGGGTGGAAGAGGCGGCCGCACGAGAGATCCCCGGGGACCTGCTCGTCGCCTGTTCTCGGGGTGGCTGAGGCACCACGGTCCGAGATCCGTTCCAGTCGTCGCTCCCGTGCCCCCAGAGTCCCTTCCCTCTCCCCACCTCGCTCCCGTTTTCCGCCCGAGATAGTGACTCGGCGGCTGCGGGCATTGCAGTGGCGCAGGTGAGGCCGCCCCCTCCCCGCGGCTCTCCCTACCCCCCGCCCGTTCCTCGCCTCTGCGCCCAGCGCTGCGGCTGCGGCGGCACCCAGCGCCACCCCCAGCTCGGGCGGCGGCGCAGCGGGAGGGCCGGGCTTGAGGACCGGGTCCTTAGCGGAGGCCCGCCCGGGGGCGCCCGCCAGGTAGACTAGGGCGAGGCAGCGCTTCGCGCGGTAGGGGGAGGAGGTCACCTGAGACGGCCGAATTTCCTTGATTCCGCGGGGAAGGGGGGCTCGAATATTCTGGGGTGGGGGAGGGGGCTCCGAGCCCAGGTGGGCTAGAAGAGATGGGCTAGGCTATAATAGGGCCGCGTATCTCGCTCGCTTACTGGAGCGAGCTAAACTGAAGGGTCCCTGCGCTCTGTTTCAGGGTGCGTATCCTGCTCTGCGGGCCCGGGAAGCCTGAGTTTAACAGCCGGTGGTGGCCCGGCTGGCCAGGGTGTGGCTCTTGTCCCCTCCCCCACCTGCTGCAGCTGTCGGGCCGATACAGACTAAAGGAGCACCCGGGGTGTCGGGTGGCGGAGGGGACGCCGGTGGGACAGTGGGGTGTGTCTAGCGCCCGGCGGGCCTCGGTGCTGCTTCTGTGGGCGGTGTTGGCCTCGCGGGCCTCTTTGCCCCCGGGGCAGGCGGCGGCTCCCCGGTACCCCAACTCGGGCGGGGGCGCGCTGCTCCTCCCTCCAGCTCTGGTGAGGGAAAATTAACACTCGGCAGAAGGTTGGGCTCCTTGACACAGATCCGCCATGACAAAGGGAGAGTCGGGGACTTACGCTGAGGCACAAGCTTGGGCGGAGCCAAGCAGTGGGGGTTGCAGATAGCGCGGACCCAAGGATTTGCGCTTTTAAGCCTGGTCGGCCGGTTTTTGGTTCACTCACCCACGTCTTAACGTCGGTTAAGGGTTAAGTGGGTGCGGCGAGGTCTTGGAGGACTAGTTATTATGTGAGAAACCCAATCCACTTCCCCTTGCAGTCTAGGGGTTGGGGAGAAAAACCTTTATACTAGTTTCAGATGATTCCGTATTAGAAGCAACATTAATCTGAGAGCATTTTCTGAGTTCTGGGGGGGCGGAATTTGTTAGTTTCGAGAAGTGGGGGTGGGGAATTACTCGGTCACAAATTTTAAATAGTTTTAGCACTGAAACACTGCCTTGTACTCAACGTAACTGATTACTTGTTTAAATACTGGGATCTGTTCCGGTTTTTCTTTTTAAGTTTTGTGGGATTTCCCTGGGAAGATAAATGATACAGTGTTGGTGAATCAATTTCCACAGTGACAGTGCTTCCTCTGTTCACCTTTAATTAGTGTACTTCAGACAGTATAGTTTTATTTAAAGTCGTTTCTTATGTGGGGTCTCTGTATGTTTTAGTATCTGTGTTTTACCACTTTTCAATTAATTTTGACTTCTAGAAACAATTCTGTGTTTATCGGAAGCACTGGTGACACTGACAGCACTTAATGTATAAATTTAGTGCTCACGGATGGTAAGAGTTGAAGTTCCAGGACTCGGGTAAATTTTGTTAAGCGGGTGTGTATATAACAAGATACAGCTAAATGAGGCCTTAGGGTCAGTTAGCGATTTTTGGTGGTGGTTTCGTATTCAGAATATCTTTAAAACAAGACATTTGGTCATTCTTTCCAGAAAATTATTCTGTGATCAGCTGGGAAATGTTACAGTGATCCGTGGATTTGGAGTGGGGGTAATAGCAACTAAAACTTAAAACACTCCTGAAAAAAGTAGGTTTTATGAAAGTAAAAAGACATGAATTACACATTAAACTGACATGAGTCATGATTCTGGAAGTATGATAGAAATGCATTGTTCTTCGTAGGCAGTGTTTTTACTAAAGAAAAGCTGCTTAATTTTTGATTACGTGGTGGTATTGGAAACTGGAGTTGAAATTTTGGCCAAGTAAGATAAGGGTTAGTTTTTAAGGTGGCCTTTGTGCTTTGACTACATGTGAAATTAGGATGTTCTGAACAAAGAAAAGGTAATGTTTAAATTTTGCTAAACTGATGTTAATGGCTTTAAATTTTAGCCTTTCAAAGCTGATGTGCTTTTTTCCTTTGTTCTGATAAATTATGTGTGAGGTTGCATTAAATTCCTCCTGTGAAGAATGTTCCATAGGCAGCCAGTCTTCCCTGTTGGGTTTGAGGTGTTAAATACAGCATTTTAATTTTTTAACAGAAGGTATAATTTTGAGTCTGTTTGTTTTGGTGAGAAAACTATCTAAATACTTCTTTTTTGTTGTTGTTTTGTTTTGTTTTTTCCTGCAGAACATCCAGTCATGGATAAAAATGAGCTGGTGCAGAAGGCCAAGCTGGCTGAGCAGGCTGAGCGATATGATGACATGGCAGCCTGCATGAAGTCTGTAACTGAGCAAGGAGCCGAATTATCCAATGAGGAGAGGAATCTCCTCTCAGTTGCTTATAAAAATGTTGTAGGAGCCCGTAGGTCATCTTGGAGGGTCGTCTCGAGTATTGAGCAAAAGACAGAAGGTGCTGAGAAGAAACAGCAGATGGCTCGGGAATACAGAGAGAAGATTGAGACTGAGCTAAGAGATATCTGCAATGATGTCCTGGTGAGAATCCCAACATTCATTTTAGCCTCGCTGTACTGTAGGGTTCTTATAATGAAATCAGTTTCGATACTGTTGTTTTTTTACCTTTGGTTTTTCTTTTTGTTTTAAACTTTGTTCTAAATCAGTCCCGAGCGACTATAAAATAGACTGTAGTGATGTTTTTGTGTACTGATTGAAAAGATTAGTAGTGTTGCCATTTCAGTTAGTGGTTGGCGTATTTGTGGAGTTAATTTTTTTTTAATGTACATATGTGGATATAGTAACTTTACATATCTTGGTTTTATGTAAAAGGTATAATAGGAGACTCTTTGTAGACATAGTACCTATCCTTCCCTGGGTTAGCCACTGTAATGATAATGTAATGAGTCAGTCATGCGCAAAGCACTGGCATCATCAGTTACTCTGGCCTCCTCTCAAGTTTTAAGTGTTCGAAGTTAACTTTGTACACAGTATTCACAATAAAGGTTATGAGTAACTCAAGCTTGATTATCCAGGTTTAGTCAAAGTATTTTAGGTATTCAGTATCTACTCTGTTGACCCACTGCTTCTCATAAAGCCTTAAAGAATTAAACAGAACCTTTTTTTTTTTTAGCAAGTGATGACTTTCTGACTCAGAAAAGTTTAATCTGAGGACAAATTGGTGGAAGATCCAACCATTTAGCATATAATGTCATACATATACACACACACTATATATATAGCCTATTTAATGAACCAGGAGTTTGGGGGATAATATTTAAAGTGCTGTTACTAACATAATTCCCCTTATATTGCAGGACCTTAGGTTACACATTGGGTAGGATTCGGGTATATAGGGAGAGATAGTACCAGTTTCTCTGGATGGGTTACTGAATCTGGGACTCAGTATGGAAATCCAGGTGCACTATTTATTTGAATCTTGTTCAAGGAAGAACTACTATAATGAACAAATATATAGGCTTTTGTCTAAGTTGTGATGGTATTATGATTCATTTAACTAGTCTTTAATTACTAATAGAATAGCTTTAGTTTCTAAATTATGAGTACTTTTCTCAAATGGTATGAGTACTTTCTCAAAAAATACTCAAATGAGTACTTTTCTTCAGGCTTTATTTTTTTCCTAAACGATTTTATTTATTTTTAGAAAGAGGCTAAATGACAATGCTTGTCTTTTATTTATTTATTTTATTCCTTTTTAATTTTTTTTAATTTTTTTTTTTTTTTTAGAGAGAGGAAAAGGGAGGGGGAAAGAGAGGGAGGGAAACATCAATGTGTGATTGCCTCTCACATGGCCCCCACTGGGGACCTGGCCCGAAACCCATTTAGTTGCAAAGGTAATAATATTTAAAATTTTAAAGTGATCATGTTTTTCACAATAAAAAACATGAGGGTCCAAAGTGTTGGACCCTCCCAGGGTGGTTCTGTTTGTTGGTTGGAGCATTGTCCTGTGCACCAAAAGGCTGCAGGTTTGATTCCTGGTCAGGGTTGCAGGTTTTGGTTGGGGCACATACAGGGTGCAGCTGACATCACCCCCCCTTCCCTTCTCCCCCACCAAATAAGTAAACATACCCTCAAGTGAGGATTTAAAAATAAATAGAAATTAAAAATAATTACTACTACGCTCCTTAACAATTAATAAACATAACAAGTATATATAAGTTAGGATTTTGCAACATTTTAAAAAAATGTGTTGGTTTTTTTTTTTTCTCTCTTGCTCTCTTTATTAACTGGTCCCTGTGTACATGTTATTGAATTTTGTTCACTGTGGTGGTTTTCCCCCAATTATTACACCTGATCAAATAATTTTTATTTTGGCTTCAAAGGGTTTGTTATACGTTATAATTTTCCTAAAGGCAAGTCAATTTTAGGATTAAGGGGGACAAAGTAACATTTACCCTCTACTAACAAGTTTATTTGTTATTCCAGGTAGGTATTTGCATGTTTTCCACACTGAAAGTATAAAAGCTCCTGAGAATTTTCCTAGGAAAAGCCTTATAGCAGTTTTAGTTTTGCTTCCCTTTGGTTTTCTTATCAAGAAAAAAAAACACTGCATGGGATCAGTGGGTGATAATAACAAGATAATCTCTGAATAGCTCTTTGTGATAAAATTATTAAGAGGGTTTGATACTGGTCGCTACCCTTGTTCAGAATAGCACTGGCTTATCACCAAGTTTGACTGAAATTTGAATTTTGAAAGTTGATAAATGAAAGTTTAATTTCTTTACTATACAAAAGGCTCAGAATTCTAAACAAGCTTTTGCTTCCACCCTCTGTGTTTTCAAGAGTAAAACTGTTAGTGATCTTTGGCTCATGCCTCCTAATGCATACACAGGTGGCACACACAAGGCCTGCGGGCCCCCACCATGTTTTATGTGGCCTTGTTTCTTCGTGGTGGCAGCACTAAGCTCTCCCTTAACTCTTAAGGAGTGGTTACATTTATTTATACAGTCCTAAAATTACATTCAGCCTTTTTAAGGCAGTGGTGAAGCCACTGTGGCCCCTGGTGAAAGTGAGTTTGACACCCAAGTAGATAGATACTCAAGTATCGATTGAGTAAATGAGCAAAAGAGCCTCTGTTGGAAAAGAGGATAATAGAACTAGGTCAGCAACGCTGCTGTTTTCCAAGGCTTTTTTTTGTTTCAACTTGGGAAAATCTGATATTTACAGATAACGTGGCTTTTTACAAGCAAGCCTCTTGTCCCTGTCATGTTTTCAAACAGGTCATGTTGACTCTGGAGATATCTTGTGTAAAATTCCTTTCCCCCTTTCTAGTAAAATATAGCAGAACTGATATGTTGGCTTCTAGAGAAAAACATCTTTGAACTGATACTTTATGGTTAGTAAAAATGATCTTTTAATTATGTTTTAAGATCTTACATATAATCAATTATAATTGTATTGCTCAATTTTTCTGAACTTTGATTTGAGGAAAAATGCTCAGGTAATCATGTTTCAGAATTAATGTTACTGGCTGGTGGTGTCAGCAATGAACTAGACTTCATTGTACTGTTCAACACCTGGCCAAAAAATACCTTCTTTCTATAAGTTTTAGTTAATACCACCTACCAGGCAAACAAAGTAGGAATCATGTTACTTTGTAAGAGTTGAAGAGCATTTACTGTGGGAAATGATCATTGGCATATTCTTTCAATATGGATTTCTCTTTATGAGCAAAAACTTGGGGTTCTTCTCTTGCATGTTAATTTGAAATAGCAATATAAGAACTAATGCAATCTGCCTTTCCTGCCAGATCATAAACCAAAAAAGCTCTCTTGGTAGTAGTGGGGAGAGACTTAAGCTCCCCCCATCAAGTTAGTTAGGGATCACTGACACCTCTTCTGCATAAATCCACAAGAAGCAACCAGAAATTATAGACTTTTCTCTTGACTGATGAAACGGAAAACAAAATGAGGAAATATGTATTAGAAAACTTAATTCACATTCAAAGAAGAATTAGTAATGTAAAAAGAGCTCCAGATTTTGAGTCAGACAACTTTTTACCATTTAATACCTTCTTGAACTAAAGAAATCACTCAGTCCTCTGAGAGAACTGAGCTCAATTAAGTGGAAATAATATCCACCTCATAGGATTGTTGCAGAGAATAAAAATCTGGTAAAGCCCTTGATTACCTTCGGTGCCATTTATGTCAGGTCTGGGGTTCTGTTTAAAAGCAGTGATAACAGGACATGCCTGCTAATAACAGTGGGAGGTCTCTTAACTTGAGTCCAAGGATGGGATTCAAAAGAACCAAGAAACCTTAAAAACTATATTTTCTGGGCAGAGGATTTGTTACTCTAACCAACATATTTTCAAAGTTTCATTTAAATAATTGAAAAACACCTGTATAAGGCAAAAAATGGCTTCCTTTTCCAGCAGGTAAAGGAACAAAATTGTGAGTCTTAACATTCAGTAACAGTAGTTTAGTAATAGTGATTCAGTTAACTTGACTGAATCCCACTTTGTTATGCTTCTCTGAATTTTTATCTGCCCAGGGCAGGTTTAAGGTGTGTGTTTCCCAGGCACTCATTTTCATTTCATGCCCACAGAACTGCCATTGTTAAGGTGCAAGCTAGGGAACCAGGCAGCTTTTAGGTCCTTCCTAGTTTGAATATGTTAATATGTCTTGGACTTTAGAAACAAGTATAGAATTGTAAGCTGAAAATCATTAGACAGCCCACTTACTGGAATAAGGGCTTCTTGAAATAATTCTGCAGTGTTATACTCATCTGCATAACTGAAGAGTTTTCACAGTATTAAGTATTCCACTGATGAGATATTTTGTATAGTTGGGAAGTCTGAGGTATATAAAGTAGAAATGAAAGAAAATAAAAGAGAGTGGAAAGGCAGATATTTGCTCTTGGTGGGAAGGGGGAGAATAACCAACAAGTTGATCAAGAAAGATAGATTATTTACCCTTTTATCAGTGAAACAATTAAATAAGAATGGAATTCTTCCTATTTGTTCTAGTAAGAGATATAGGTGACCTGGAGATGTTTGGTGATTAGATGAGCTATGAAGATAGTTAAAAGCTAACTAAGAGGAAGAGATTAAAGGATTTGACACATTAGAATTAGAGTGAAAAATATGACTCAAATATAGAAAAAAATGCACACTTTGATCTAACTCTTTTAATCTACCCCCCAAAAAAGAGGAAGAAATTGTAAGGCTTCCCTGGCTGGTGTGGCTCTGTAGAGTGAGTGCTGGCCTGCTCACCAAAAGGTCACGGGTTTGATTCCCAGGCAGAGCACCTGCCCAGGGTTGCTGGCCAGGTCACCAGTTGCAGGCATGTGAGAGGCAACCAACTGATGGATCTCATACATTGATGTTTCACTGCCTCTTTCCCTTTCTTCCCTTCTCTCTAAAAATAAATTTTTAAAGAGAATTCATGTCCAGAATTTGATCATTTGCCACCACCTCCAACCTACATCCTGGTCTCACCAGCATTCTCTCACATCTGGATTATTGGGGTAAGGGGGGTTGTAAACCCATTTTTAAAGATTTTCTTTGAATATGTATAGAC